GGAGATTGTCACTGCGTGGAGCCTGGGAAGTATGAAGTGGATGATCCTGACCGTTGCCCCCTAAATCCACTTCCCAGGTATCGAAGTGCAGTTTGTCTGCCGTAGACTGTGTGTGAGCCGTGTTCCTGCATGTTTTTTTGGCATGTTTTATTGTTTTGTACTTGCTCCGAGCTGAGGAGCTGCGTGGCTCATCCGGCTCACTAGATGCTCATCTGCGCCTGCTAATGCTCATCAGCCTGCAGGCCTCCAGTCTGGCCTCCAGGCCCAAGACATCAGATAATTTGTTCCACACGGCTGATCTCTTGCTCACCGTGTCCGCAGAGATTCCAAGTATGCTGATAAATAGCCACGATGTGCATAGTTTGACCGATCAAACCTACTATCGCGCTGTACCCGCAGAAGCCGCCCAGGCACAACGTCCACAAATCTAACATCCTGTTCTTGTACGAGCCTCTCTCTATTACAGAGGTCCCGCGCCCCCCCTGAACGCAGTCCAGAGCCAGCGGGAATGCAAGTGCGCAGCATTCCATTTTCATTTTGGTCCAACCGCGGCTTGCAGGAACGCAGCCCCGAGGCCGCAGGACCTCAAGTCTGCATCATGCAAAATCGCGATTCTGTGCACTTTTGGGTACTCGCAAAAGGTTTCGTACAGAAACACAACCTCAGAGGGTGTGTCCTTGATGCAACTAGAAAGTTCACATTCAGAGGCTCTCGTTGCGAGATTGACAAAATTGACAAGGTTGACGGTCAACGTGGAGGTGCTCGATATATTTTTCATTCAGAATTAAATGGTTGTTGCAAATTTGCAACAACTCGAAAAATGAAATAATGGACATCCGTCATCACCCAACAGTGCACAGAATCGCGATTTTGCATGATGCAGACTTGGGGTCCTGCGGCCTCGGGGCTGCATTCCTGCAAGCCGCGGTTGGACCGAAATGAAAATGGAATGCTGCGCACTTGCACTCCCGCTGGCTCTGGACTGCGTTCAGGGGGGGCGCGGGACCTCTGTAATAGAGAGAGCTCAGGTGTCTCGGGTGTCTCGGGTGTCTCGGGTGTCTCAGATGTCTCGGGTGTGTCAGGGGGGAGGGCTTGCATGATGCAAGTTTGCGGTCCTGTGGCCTTGGAACTGCAGATCTGCAAGCCTCGGTTGTCCCTTAAAAAAAAAATTGGAATGCCGCGCGCTTTCATTCCTGCTGGCTGTGGACTGCGTTCAGGGAGGCCGGGAAGCCCTGTCATAGACAGAGGTAGGGACAATCGATGTTCGCATCCCGGAGGCTTGGCGGCTGCTAATGTGCTGCGCTTCGGAGCTAGCATTTTGGCCAGAGTGGAAAAGTGCCGTGAGACACCTGAGACACCTGAGACCTCCCAAGTTTTGCCAAAAAGATCGCTGTTACATTGCGCGTGCCCTCCCTGACGCAGTCCAGAGCCGGCGGGAATGAAAGTGAGCAGCATTCCATGTTCAACCGGAGCTTGCAGGAATGCACCCCCGAGAGACAGCTGAGACAGCTGAGACAGCCGAAATAGCTCGGTGTCTCTGCTGTCTCAGGTGTCTCAGGTGTCTCAGCTGTCTTCCAGCCTCTCCAGCCTCCACTCTGAGCTGTCTCAGGTGTCTCGGGTGTCTCGGGTGTCTCGGGTGTCTCGGATCTCTCCGTCATCTCCGCTGCCTCGCCCCGCCGGCCCCCGAGCAAGATGAGCATCAGCGGAGCCTTATGAGCACCAGCCCGCTCCAACGCCAGGCCCACCCGAGGCTGGCGGCGAAGCAAGATGAGCATCAGCGGAGCAGCAGCACGGCGGAGGAGCATCAGCAGCACGGCGGAGGAGCATCAGCAGCGGAGGAGCACCAGCAGCACGGCGGAGGAGCATCAGCAGCACGGTGGAGGAGCATCAGCAGCATGGCATCGGCGGAGGAGAATCATTAGCACGGTGGAGGAGCATCAGCAGCATGGCATCGGCGGAGGAGAATTAGCAGCGGAGGAGCATCAGCAGCACGGCGGAGGAGACTCATTAGCACGGCGGAGGAGGTACATCAAGCGGAGCGGCCAAAAAAAAAACGGGCAGATGGGCTTCACAAGCACACACATGCGGAACATGTTTGCCACACACCCGCGCACTGACAACAAGACATGCAATGCTGCAGCAACAAAAGAGGCTTCTCCGAAAAAAAAACGCTACACTGAGCCCACGTGCAAGATTCCCAGTTTTTTTGCTGCGATACTGCGGCAGCGCTGCATGAGTTGGCCACAAAACGTTCACCACGAAAGCGAAGGAGCCTCAGACCAGCATCAAGTGGTTAGACCTCTAACTTGCGCAGCACGTGTTGTGGCCGGCCTCGCACTTGCCCGGCATCCGCTGAATCTCGGGACCTAATGGGCACAAGAACCGCTGTGGAATTCCGGATGAGGTCTCGCATGAGTGCAGACGAACCTCGGCTCTCCGCCAGCACCACATCAAGAACTAGCCCAACGCCTGCGGCACCGCACGCGTTGTAGCCAGCTTTGCATCGCACAAAAAAAAAGGGCCTCAAAAAACAACGCCTAACCTCGAGCTGAACCTCAGCATGAACACTAGCCAAGAGCCACAAGATGGACAACGCGCCCCCCCCGCTTTTTTTTTGGAGCCTGGCCGAGGCCTGCTTCAACACCGGCGCCCCACCCTCCAGGAGCCAGAAACTTCAAAAAAAAAAGAGGTGTAGACCCAACTTTCCAAAGAAACCGATTTCGGCCTGAACTTGGGTCTACGAAGACACTGGCATGAGAGGACCTCAGCAAACGAATATTTCAGACGAGCATCAGCGAGTCTCTCGGGCCGGGGTCCTCTTGGGAGAGTCTATATATATATATAAATATATAGGGGGGGTAACCTACTCCTAGAACCTCTTCATTTTTATAATTTCAACGTAGCATGATCCACTTCAGCAGGCCTCTGGCTTCAGACACAGCTCCCGACTGGCGGCGACGTCAAGGATATAGGGACCTGAGCGGGCAACACTTGGGGAGCTGGGGGTATTGCCACCAGGGGGTGGGTCGCAAACACACGCACAGACATGCAGGCTTCTAATCAAGGACGTGGCTGACTGTGTGAGGCTTTCGGCTCTGTTAAGCTCCTGGCAAACGAGGATGTCGAGGAGGGGGGGACCTGAGCGAGAGGATGATGGCTGGGGAGGGGCTAAGGGCTAGGGCGCAGTGCCGCAGACAAGCTTCCACCCAGGATGCGAGAAAAAAAAAGAAACACACTCGATTCTTTTAAGAACTCGGCTGCACCGTGGTCCAGGCAGCGGTTTGTTGGTCCGCAACATATTGCGGCTGTGATGCCCCTGTATGGGTCTTCTGTACTGCAAGAGGCGTTTGTACACGCCCCAACAAGAAAATGCAAAGAGCCACCCCCCCAGCAATGCGCCGCAGTAAGTCTGCGCACAAGGATCTGCCACACAAACTGGAAAGGTGCCTATGAGGCTTTTCTCACATGCTTTATGATGTTTTGCTGCTTGAAATCTAAAAACTGCTTGACAGAGGTCCGCGCAGTTCCACTTGCGCCGCTTCTGCAACGTCTCACCAGGAACCTTGCCCTCCGACACCTTGCCTTCAAGAAAGGTCTGCAAAACACTGTACACAGCCTCCGCTCGTTGAGCCCTGGTTGTGTCGACCTGCCTTCTCAAGCCTCACCAGGACGAATTCCTTCACGGCATCGCCCAGCTCATCCGCCAGGTCCTGGTTCAGCAGGACCTCGCACTTCAACGGCACGGGGCCAATGGAGCGCATGCTGCGCTTCCACAGGAGGACCTCATAGATGAGGTAGAAGATGCCAAAGAAGCTCGGGATCATCTCCGGCAGCATCTCCTCGATGGGTCGCCTGGCCTCCTCAGACTTGTCAGCGAAGACGGTGACGTGCTCCACCACAGCAGTGCGCTGGCGAACGGCGAAGTTCGACACCAGGGGCGGCGGGCTGTTCGCCGCAAAGAAGACCAGGAACTGCGGGCGGTAGCGCACCAGCTTCTCATAGAGGTCCCTGCCGCTCAGCTCGCTGTTGCCGTCGGTGAACGTCTTGTAAAGCTGGAGGCGGATGTTGTCGGCACCATCGACCTCTCTGATGGCCACGAACCTCCTCGCCCTGCGCAGCGCGAAGACAGGGCTCGGAGCGTTTGCGTCACGCACCTTGACCAGGGTCTCTGCTGCGACCGAAACTGCGTAGCTTCCAAGGAGCTTCTGCGTGATGTTGCAAATGGTGTCCTTGCCATTGCGGCCGATTTCCCGTGTCCAGAGGGCAGCGGCTTGGGGCAGGCCGAAGATGCCCTGCTCGTAGATGGTTGAGGCCCAGTCGTCTCGGGTGTAGGTGAAAGATACCCAGCTCAGGAATCAGCTCCGCCAGTCTGTCCAGCTCTGCCTGGCCCTGACTTGCCGCAAGACCGCCCGTAGCTGTGGGCCATGGCTCTCCCACCAGCTCGACCAAGTGTGCTCCCAGCCTGTGGAGCGGGAGATCTTCAAGTCTGGGTTGATATCGCGCCATTCCAAAGTGTCCCGATCCAGGTCCCGCCCCTCGAAGTTCAGATAGCGGCGGGTGTCCTCGCCATCAAGCACCCACAAATGACTCGAGACGCCCAGGTGCGACCGCAAAGAAGCGGCGACGCCGTTCTTGAAGCTCTCGGCGCTGAAATCCCAGCGAGTAGGGATGGAAACGTCATAGCCGTCGGTGTTCCACTGCAGGTAGTAGTGGCTGAGGTCCCTTTGAGCGATGACCTGGACGCAATCCCCGGTGATGATCCACTGCTTGTGGGGGCAGAAGTACCACGCCTTGTGGCCGGTGTCCAAAACCATCTTGAAGACCTCCCTGAGACTGTAGGGGATGCTCTCGCTCACCGCCGGCGTGCGGATCACAAGCTCGGCAAAGAGCCCGTGGTGGGCCAGGTTGCCGTTGAAGGCCTGGCAGACGAGGTTGTGGTAAGTCCTCCACCCAGCATCTTTCCGGTTCCACAGGTGAGCCAGTGGGCTCTTGCACATCTCCAGCTTGGTCTTCTCCATGGCCTTCTCCAGGGTGAGCGGGGGCTCCAGAGTGAAGGCAAAGCCTCTCAGCTTCTTCTTGAGCTCTGCCTGAAGCCAGGTCGATGAGCTCCCGCTCCTTGGCAGTGTTGAGGGCGTACTGCAAGTACTCCGCTGGGCGCGGCGTGGATTGCTTCAGCAGCTTCATATGCTCGGAGTGGCCCGCCGCATCCTTCTTGCGAAGCTCCCGAACCTCTCTGGAGATGCGGTTTGCAAGCTCCTCCGTGGCGAAATGCTCCATGCCATTGGCCACCTTCCAGCTTGCCACTGAGCCACCGTAGAGCAAGGCAAGGAAGAGCTGCTTCGCCACGGCGCGGTCCGGGTGAGTGAGCCTGAGGATGGCCTCCCTGTCTCCGCGCAGCTCTCGAAGCGCCTCACCAGCATCGGGGTGCCTGTCCAGTAAAATGCCAAGGTGGGCATTGACCAGATCGAAGGTGTAGCAGCCACTCAGCCCACTGCGAAGCACGTTCCGGATCCACCTGAAGCAGGGCTATCTTAAGTCTGCATTGATGGGTTGGGTTTAGGGTGTAGACTGTAGGGTTTAGGGTCTGGAAAAGGCCTGGGCTGCGCGAAGATGCTGGCCCCGACGTGGGCCTCCGCCAGACCGCCAAAGTTCTGGAGCTTGTGCGCCTGCAGCTGCTTCCCCGTCAGCCTTCCAGAGTGGCGGCGGCCCTTGAGACCCAACGCCACCATCCGCTGCTCCTCCACGAACACACTCTTCAGGCACTTGGCGCCGTTGATGCGACTGCGGCAGCACTGCGCCAAGATGTCGCCCAAGATCCGAAGAACAGTGGGGCCGTGCCCCTTCGAGGAGCGATGCAGCTTGCTGATTTCAAAGCAGGTCGGAGTCAGGCACTGAGTCCACCTCCTCCAGGCAGTGGTCGCAAACGTTGCTGGGGCCAGCATTTGTGGTCACTGGGCGCCCTGATCAAACGCCCTCTGCCTCTCACGCTCCTCCTGCTCCCAGCGGGAAGCGTCCCCCTTCAACTGCTCGTCCACAGCCACCTCCAGATCGTCGTCGAAAAGGTCCTCATCCAAGAACGTGGGGATGAGCGCACTGAGGGTCTCAGCCGTCCGCAAGTCCACATGTCCCATTTCTTGGCACCGCACGCCTTGAGCAGCGTGCGCAGCACCACACGCTTCTTGCCCTCCTTCTCGCAACGAGAGCGCACTGTCCCAGCCAGAATCACGGCCAGCTTGTCCTCGTCAAGCGCCGCCGCCTTGAGCGAGCGCCAGCTGTCCTCCAAACACATGTCCAGCTCCACGGCCTGGTTGACTGCATCCCACACCGCTCCATCACCGGCAACCTGCATGCATAGCCAGAGAGGTAGCGGGCCCTGGCTTCGTCGTTGCTGTCCACGTGGTTGACGATCCGGGCTGCAAGCCGTTCGGCCGAGGCATCTCCGCTCAAGCAGCCTGCTGCAGTGCGTTCCAGTGATCCATGCCGAGTCTGAAGAAAGGCTGCACAGTTAGCCCCAGGAGAACACGAAGGTTGGCTTCTTACAAAAACTTGAGTCGGAGGGCAACAACAACACAGGACACGTTGAGACAAACCCGTTGCGCCTGCTTGACATGCACTCGCTTCCACCTGCCTGCTTATCAGCCGTTACCCGGGGGTACGCTACTGCTAGAGTTACAGCAAGAAGCGTGCTCACATCCACTCAGAGCCCCAGACAACGTCTCTGTCCACGAGCACCTGATCGAGCGAAAGTGAGTGGGGTCTAAAGTCCATAAACCCTAAAAAACCCTAAACCCAAACCCCAAAGCTGATGATTGAAGAGGTCCTCTAGGCAGAGACCGCCTGACGCCTGCTGAGTGCAGGTCTGTACGTGGGTATTGCTGATATGATATGATTAAGTCTGAAGTTCGGGAGCAACCGTGACACTGTTTGCGCTGAAACTTCGAGCAAGCAGCCCCTTTGAGAGAGGAAACCCAAAAAAACTGAGCCCGTTGCCGCCCCTCTCTGTGTTCGAACTGTCCAACACCCCCTGTGTTTGAACTTAGCAACCATGTCCAAGCAAGAAAATCAAGCGTAAGTCAAGACACCTGGACACCTGAGAGACCAAGTTGTATCTGACTCGCCTGTCTCGCCTGTCTCGCCTGCCTGGCGTGTCTCGCCTGTCTCACCTGTCTCGCCTGTCTCACCTGTCTCGCCTGTCTCTCCTGTCTCGCCTGTCTCGCTTGTCTTCTTGCCCTCTCTGCCCTCGCTGGCCTCCCGCTGTCTGACCTTTCTCGCCTGTGTTGCGCGTGCCCGCTGTGCTGCGCGCTCTATGCTGCTTGAGCGCAAGCAGATGCCAAAAAAAGCCATGTTCGAAAAAAAACCTCAGCAACCAATTCAAAAAAACATATCATGGTCCAATTGCCGTTCACACAGAGCCTTTCTCCACTTTCAACCTTCAGAGCTCTTGTTTGAGTATGTGCGACTACCACCAAGATCTGCAGTAAAGGCTGCTTCGCTCTTCGCTCAGGCTTGCGCCGGAGGCTGTAAAATCAAGCATTCCAAGAAGAAAAAATGACTTCATGCGTCAACAATCAAGCAATCCAAGCAAAAAAAAACCATGCGTCAAAATCAAGCAAGCCATGCGAATCCATGTGTCCGAGCCTGCCGGCCGATGAGATCTAAAGGGTGTTTTGCGGCTTTAGGGCCTAGGGGCGCAGGATTATAAAAAAAAAAAAAAACAACAACAACAACAACAACAACAACAACAACCCTCGTCGCCGTCGCTGTCGTCGCCGTCGCTGTCGTTGCCGTCGCTGTCGTCGCCGTCGCTGTCGTCGTCGTTCCCGTCGTCGCGTCGAGGTCGCCGTTGTCGAGGGCACGCCTGCCGAAGCCCTCACTGAGGACCTACGGCGGAGGTCCGGGCTGAGGTGGGTGGTTCAGTGTAAGCTGAGGGGGGTGCTCGACTGATACAGGGCTCCCACAGGCGGTTATCCTAGGCTTGACATCCTATCCTGCAGAATTCCTCTACGATTCTAGCAGCTCGGAGCTGGTGGCCCTGCTGGCCCCACGTAGAGGTGCCGCAGGTTGAAATGCTGCGTTTCGCAGCCCAGGAGCCAGACGCAGCCCCTCAGCGTGAGCCCCTGGCAGGAGGCGCAGGTGATGGCGTGGCACCGCCGCGTCTGCCGCAGCAGTTCGGCGTGCGAGAAAGCCTGCCCTCCGTCCAGCACCACCTTTTCCGGGCCCACCTCCGGCTCTCATGGTCTGCGGGCTGTTGGTGGTGGGCGCCTCCGCCTCCTTGTGCTCGATCAACACCGCGTCCTGGGGGCCCAGCCTGCAGTTCTCCCACTCGTTGATTTTCACCCTGGGCGTGGGAGATCACCAAGCAGACGTCGGAGTGCTCCCCTTGAAATCTCGAACTTTCGCCGGGCACCCTCACGGCCTCGGCCAAGGGCACCTCCTCGGCCTCACCCACCCGAAGCCAGCTGATGACCCGGAAGATCCGCTCGTCGATTGCTGGGTTTCCAAAAGTTCGTGGCAGTAGCCCGAGGCTAAATCCCGCACACCAGACTGTATGGACGCCACGCCGTTATCTTCACGGAGAATACTGGCGCGCTTGGGTCAATGATAAAGGGCCATGCGGAGAATGCCATCGGTAGCTCCGATTGCGTGGCCTGGTTCGAGCGTGTCAGCT